TATCTTTGTCCCAAAGTATCTAATTAAGTATCTAATCACTTCTGTACTTAAGTATGTATGTAATTTAGTGCCTATATGTCACCTAAGGCTGGTACAAGGCAGGAGTTGCACCAGATACTTTCTACCTCCCGGTTCAGGGGGCTGGTAGGAGAAAGGAAGGGCAGAGTAAGAAAACCATTAAGAGGGCAGTTGAAAGTGATTTTTAAAAAGAGATTACCATCACTGACTTAAGTATCATATGTATATGAAGCTGGAGCAGTAGAGAAGGTTGGCCAGCAGGGAAGGGCCTTGTTCCATTCACATTTAGATTTAATCAGGCTTCTGTGTGTATGTGTGTGTGTGTGTGTGTGTGTGTGTGTGTGTGTGTGTGTGTGTGTGTGTGTGTGTCTATAAACTAACTTCATATAATCCAAGGATTTTCTACTATCCCCCCTTGCCCCAAACAATTTCACTAGAATTCCTATAAACAATTATCTCCATACATGTCCAAACTCATGATAGTAAGAGACTTCTAATTGCTATGGCAGAAGGCTCCAAACTTCCCAACTCCAATCTGTCTTCTGGGGGGATCGCAGGTGTGTCACTGAAGGAGCTATGGGCTTGTTTTTTTTTTTGTTGTTGTTTTTATACATTTGAATAAAAATATGCCAAAGTTTTGCCACCAGAAAAAAATGGTACCTATGTACCTAAATACATACCTGCCTCTGTTTCCAAGTAATCAGTTCAGATGGTAGACCAGTTTGAACCAAACCATATCAGTTTAGAGGAGTTTGAACTGTTTTTAATAGTACTAAAGCAATTTAGAGTGGTTTGGACAGAATTAACCACTTTAGATCGGTTTTAAACAAATTGAACTGGTTTAGGCAGGTTTGAACCACTTTTAAATAGATTCAAGTAGTTTAGACCAGATTAATCAAAGCACCCATCTTAATTAAGTACCTTAGTATATAAGTATTTAACTAAATGCCTACATAACTAGGTGTTTAACTGAATAGTTATATAGCTAAGTAACTGAATACAAAGTACATAATTTCCTATGGTATATAGGCACTTAATATGACTCTAATCATCTATATACTTAAATACTTGAATAGTTTATTATGCAATTAAGTACCTAAGTAACTGATTAACTTTTAATTAAATGACCTTTCATCTAAATATCTGTGTACCTAAGCAACTAAATACCTACTTCTAAACTTAAATAGACCCTTTTGAACTGGATTGGACTGGTTAAAACCAGACTTTTAATGAGAACCAGAGTAAAACCTACTGAATGAGTCTGAACTGGTTTTGATGGATTTGAGCTGGACTGAACTGGTTTAGACCAGTTTGAACTTCTTTGGACCACTTTGAACTTGACTTCAGGATATTTAAGTCAATTCCTACTTAAGTAGGTACTTCAGTATCTAATTAACTGATTACCTAAGTACCTAAGTCCTTTCTTATCTAAAGTACCAAAGTACTTAATTTCTTAATTAACTGCTTGCCTAAATATCTAATTACCTACTGTCTTAGACCTGGAATATATCCCTAATTAGCTATGTACCCAATTGTCCTAAGTACCAAATTGTCTTTTACCTAAATTCCTAGTACCTTAGTAACTAAGTACACTTCTGTACCTAAATTTAAACAATTTAGACTGTTTGAACTAGAATGGATAGAATGTACCAGATTTTGATCTTGATCAGAAACAGCTTAAAGTATATTGAACCTGTTAAGACTGATTTGAATAGGTTCAGATCAATTTGAATTGGATTAAAACAGTTTAGAACAGTTTGATCTAGTTTGAAATGGTTTATACCAGTTTTAAACTGATTGAACTGATTTAGACAATAATAGGCCATTTATTTAGCATATCTAAGTCCACACATAGAAGTGCATAAATAATAAAATATCTAAATTCCTTACTACCTAAATACCTTTTGACCTATGCAACTACATACCCAAAAGCCTCGGGACCTAATTATCCAATTAACTGATTGCCTAAGTACCTAATTATTTATGTGTCTAGGTACCTAAATTACTGATTTACCTAAATACTTACATACCTAAGTACCTAATTTCCTCTGTCCCTAAACACCCAAGTTCCCTAAGTACCTAATTACCTAAGTATCTAATTAATTGGTTACTAAGTAGCTAATTAACTGATCACCTAAGTACCTAATTAACTGATTAACTAAGTGCCTATAATTTTCTATGGAGGTGGATTTGGGGCCTCCCTAATTACCTAGGTATTTGATTTCTTTAATTATTTTGTTAAGCATTTAATTAACAGGTTACATAATTAGTTATATATTTAATTACATAATTGTCTATGTCTTTAAGTAACTGATTACTGATTACTAATTACTGATACTAAGTACCTATGTACCTAAGCCCCTTTGTAGCACCTGTTTAACCAGTTTGGACTAGTCTGAACTGGACGGAATCAGTTTGGATGGGCTGGAACCAGTTTATGCTGATTTGAGCCAGATGAGACTATTTTGAATGAGTTTGAACTAAGGTGAACCAGTTTAACACAATTTGAACCTAATTGAATTGGTTTGAACCATCTGCATTGGTTTAGAACAGTATGAATGGATTTAAACCAAATTAGGCCTGTTTAAACTAGTTTAGACTGGATTTAGCTAGTTCAAGGTGATAAGTTACTTATTTCATATATTTGAATACATAAATATATAAGTACATCAATACTGAAATCCCTAAACACCTAATTACCTATGTACCTTAGTACTTATGTACCTAACTACCTAAAATACTTAAGTGCCTACATCCTAAATACCTAAGTATTTGGTGCCTAAGTATCTAAGCACCTAAGTGCTTACTTCACTGGGTGCCTAAGTATTTAATTACATAATTATCTAAATAACCGTACCTAGGTATATAAGTACCTATGTACCCAAGTACCTCATTACCAAGGTACCTAAGTGTGTATATCCCTAAGTAGCTATGTAAGAAGTGTCTCATTTTCACTGATTACCTACTATGTTCCTAAGTATCAAAGTACCCATCCACCTAAGTGTCCATGCAAAGGAACATTAGATAGCACAAGATTTCTTCTTATGCTGGTCACTGACATATTGTGACACTAGGTATAAAAGCAAAAAAAGTAGAAATGTCCCTCCTTTGTAAACTCTTGTCATGCATGCCATTTACATTGACTTGTCATGGCTAAAGATAAAAATATAGCTAATTCTTACAGGAAAGAAGGAAACTAGCAAGCTCATGAATTGTTTACAAATTTATCATCAAGATCAATTTTCTTTATTTTGGGATCTTCTCCTTTTACTTAAAGCCATATGTGCTCATGAGGAAAAAAAAATGTCCAGCTATGTTTGAATTTGACACATTTTGTCCTTCATAGCAGAGATCTAAGCTTAGTCAATACCTTTGTGTAATTATGACATTTCCCCTTTGAAACTGTTATTTATTCTTCATAATATAAGTACAATGTGAATATTAATTTGTAAGCTTCCTGTTGTAGATATTTTTCTGGTATTCCTTCTTACACTTTTTTTAACCACTTGAACACCACAGTCATTACATACATAATGCAAGTAAGCAAGAAAAATTATTTTATGATAACAGAGAAGATTATGGGAGGGTTTTGTAAATTATTGTAAAATAATGATATCCTATAACTTAGAAGTCAAGGCCTTTTGTTGGCCAGCAAATATCATACAGGTAAAACAATTTAAAGGACTTAGGAGATTTCTTAAATGGCAAGTATTTTCTACCAGGATAGTCCAGGCTCATGCGGAATTAGATTTAATTTGAAATATGAATTTCCTCATCATTATTTCCAGCTTGCTCTTCCTATGCAGACAACTTCATTTAAGTTCAACGGACTATAACATGAATTATGACATAACACCACACAGTCTAAAATTATATACATGGAAATGCCACATGTGGGAATTTCTCTACATGCAGGAAATTCCTACATGTGGCATTTCCACTTTATCATGCTTCAAGTACAGCCTTCTGTGCCTCAGACAAATGCTTATTCAATTAGAATTTACAAATATTTCATCATTTAAAGAAAGGGTACTTATTTGTACCTCCAACTTAAAACCATATGATTTCCACATTTTGTAGTGGTCTCCCAGATATCTTTCTGTGTTGTTTTTGTCCTTGCACTTTGGACACTGCCAAAAGGATGGCCATGAAGAAAAAAGTGCTTTCCCAAAGGTAAGATAAATGTCCTAAGAAAAGTCAGGGGGGCAGCTAGGCAGCACAGTGGATAGAACACGGACCCTGAAGTCAGGAGGACCTGAGTTCAAATCTGGCCTCAGACCAGACACTTGACACTTACTAGCTGTGTGACCCTGGGCAAGTCACTTAACCCCAATTGCATAAAATGAAAAGTCAGGGACTATAATAGGAACACCAAGACTAACTAAATTATTGCTTCTACTCCAACAAGAAGTAAAAGTTAGGAGTGGGGTTTGTTGGGATTGACCCTCTGGAGGTAGGATGTAAATTTTGTTAAATCAGTTCCATTCCACTTCTGTTAGATCAATAATCAGTATAGCAACTCAGTAAAGGATGAGGATACTTAAAATGCACATGATTAGTGTTTTTTTTTACCTGCATGACGTAATCATATAAATAGTCAGTTTTTAAATATACTACTTTAAGTTATTGAGTAAAAAATGGATTAAAAAATTGAAGAAACTTGAATTTTTGTGAGAAAAAGAAATGATCTCATTTCTTCATTTTGGAAATATGCTTCAAAAGTGCATTAGGAAATGTTCACACATTCTTTGAATACAGGAGGGCTTATGCTCTGACATACAAATTGTGTCAGACATTGATAATCAAAAACTGAAAAGTGACAAATTGCTCCTAAAATTTTACTTTGGCAAGGGAATAGAATATCATCTTTTGTGACCACTGTTATAACAAGAAAAACTCATCTTTCCTAAAACCAATTTTTTTTCTAATAGAAAAGATCCACTCACCCATGTAAACAATGACCTCTCGACACTCCTACATACCTGTACTTGTGCCGACCAACAGTGACCCAGGGCTGGAAGAATGTGCAGGGATCTTCCCATCATTCAGTTGCTTCACCCTCTTCAGGTGTGATTTCCCATTGTAATGGACCTGAGCCTGAGCTGCAGAGTTCAGCTGAATATTGCACACATCACAGAAGGAAAAGAGAATTTTCTTTTTTTCTTTACTCAATTGAGAATCAGGTCGTTCATGCTTTGGTCCTTTGTCTTCAAAACCTCGTAGAAAGGTAGACATATTCATAATTCCATCTTCGAAGATGTAGTCAGGACTTAAAGGACGCTTCATACCTATAGAAAGAATACATGGTCCTCGAAATAAAAAAAACTGACTGGCCAGTTATTTCTTACCACATTTAAATTTAAAAATTTTAAAATCAGTATATTTGCATCCAAATTAGCCAAGCTCAGAAAAAATTCATCCATACCACCCAATACCAACTTAAAGAATATTTATTCATTCAAAAACCTGTATTAACTGCCTACTATATACAGAACATAGTATGACAAATCTCCTGCCTGCATGGAGCTTGAAGTTCAGCAAAGTAATAAGATACCTACAAATAATTATTATTATATACAATATTATATTGTAAGTGTATTTGAGATTTAAAAAATATAACTACTTAAGATCACAGAATTTCAGAATTAGAAAGGACTGCAGAGGTTAAGCAGAATTTGAGAAGAGATCCCCTCTACAACACATCTGACAAGAAGCGAGAGGAGGGAAGGGACACTGACACCACTCTGCCCTCATCACCTCCCATCTGGACTACTGAAATAGCCTACAGCCTCATCACTTTACCTAAAGTCTCTTGGAGCCACTGCAACTCATCATTCATTAAGCTGCCAAACTGATCTTCCTAAAGTGCAAGTCTGACCATATCACCTCACGAGTAAACTCCAGGAGCTCCCTATTGCCTCTAAGATTAAATATAAAATAATCTGTCTTTTAAAGTCCTTTGTAACCTGGCCCCTTCCTAACTTTCTAGCCTTCTTACTCTCCTCCATGTACTCTGTGATCCAGTAACACTGGCCTCCTGGCTGTTCTTTACACACTAGATAGATAGGTAGATAGATAGACAAAAATTTAAAAAATCTAGCCCCCAAATATTATAAGATACAAAATGTTAGTGACCAAAAGTTATATTCCTATGGAACCACATGTAAGGATATGCACCCAAAGTACAGAAAGGGACCACATGTGGGAAGAAGAGGAGGAGGGAGAGAAAAAAGAAAAGGAAAAGGAAGAGGTAGAAGAAATTTTGATATCTTAATTTGATATTTAAACCAGAAAGTAAAACGATTTTGGGGTAAATGAAAGGATGGTGCACAAGTCTTGTATAGATGGGCAAATAAATGAGTTGATCTCACTTTGTGGCCAAAGTTAACAAGAAATGATTGCATGTGATATTTGGTGAGCTCATATTACACTACTCATGATAAATATATATTTTTTTTAAAAAGACCAACATAGGAATAATAGCAGCCTATATGCCAAAAGTTGTTGTAAAGAAGATGAAGTGGTCTAAAAATTCTGTGAAGAATCTAGTAAAAACCTCCATAGCAAAAGAATATATGTTTTAATATTCAGTGACAATGTACAGATGACATTGGCAAAAAAAAAAACACCAAAAAACCAAAAAACATGTTGGAAAAATGTTTTGGGAGTAAAATATAAGAGAGATCAAAGATTTATATTCCACACAAAAGCCTCCTAACTATGTTATAAATTCTTTGAAAAAAAATGGAGATACTGAATGTGGCAAACACCAAATTGTATCATAAAACTAAAATTGTGCTTTGGCTGTATTTTAATGGACAAAAAATGACTCATTATAGATGTTGGAGCCATTCCTGAATCAATTATTTATGTGCAGTCTGACTTATTAGAAGATTAAAATGAATAGAAAAGTAGCAGAATATTTTAAAAGATATGGCATGAAATTAACAATGTAATCTGACCTAATTAAACAAATCATTGATATTAAAAGATGGGGAATGGGTGAAGGAATGGACATTGACATGGAATATAGGAATTTTGTACAGATTTTTAACTAATGTAAATTAATTTACTTAAAGAAGAGAAGGAAAGAGAAAGCTGGGAAACAATCTTTACAGCAAATGTCTCTCAAAAAGCCTTATCTCTCAAATATATAGAGAACTGAGCCAAATTTATAAGAATACAAGCCATTCTCCAACTGATAAATTGGTCAAAGGATAAGAACAGGCAGTTTTCAGAGGAAGAAATCAAAGCTATCTATAGGTGCATGAAGAAATGCTTTAAATCATTTTTGATTAGAGAAATGCAAATTAAAAAAAAAAACTCTGAGGTACCACCTCATACTTATCAGATTGACTAACTGACAAAAAAGGAAAATTATAAATGTTGGAGAGGATGTTACACTAATTGGGCCACTAATGCATTGTTGGTGGAATTATGAACTGATCCAACCATTCTAGAGAGCAATTTGGAACTATGCCCAAAGGGCAACCAAACTGTGCATACCCTTTGATCCAGCAATGCCACTACTAAATCTGTATCCCAAAAAGACATAAAAAAATGGAAAAGGACCTACATGTACAAAAATATTTATAGTCGTCCTTTACATGGTGGCAAAGTATTGGAAATTGAAGGGATGCCCATCAATTGGGGAACATTTGAACAAGCTGTGGTATTCCATATAATATAATAATATAACATTATATCACATGTATATTTACATATTCATATATAATCCACATTATATATAATATATTCTACATTACACGCAGAATGTAATGGAATACTATTTTGCAATAAGAAACAATGAATATGCAGATTTCAGAAAAACCTGAAAAGACTTATATGAATTGATGCCAAGTGAAATGAGCAGAACCAGGAAAACATTGTACAGTGTGTCAACAACACTGTATACTGATCAACTATGAATGACTCAGCTCTTATCAGCAATACAATAATCTAAAACAAGTACAAAGGACTCAAGAAGGAAAATGCTATCCACATCCTGATAAAGAACTGATGGATTCTGAATGCAGATTGAAGCATTTTTTTTTCATTTACTTCATTCTTTTTTGTGGTATTTTCTTTTTTGATCTGTTTATTCTTCATATGGAAATATGTTTTCCATGATAGCTCATGTATAACCTATTATCAAATTGCCTACCTTTTTTGGAAGGGGGAGGGGAGGGAGGGAGAAAAATGTAGAACTCAAAATCTTATAAAAATGAATGCTAAAAATTGTCTTGATGTGTAATTAGAAAAAATAATACCATTAAAAAATAAAAGCACCTGACTCACCACACATGTGATTCCTTTGCCAACTAGACTATGTGGCAGCCAGAACAACACTGGTTTGGAATATAAACTTGATGGAATGATTACAAGGATGATAATTATGGGTATTAACAAGATCAATTTACTCATCTGTAGAATAGGAATGCATTGATGGTTCCCAAGGTTCCTGCTAGATCTAAGCTTATGATCCTGTGATCCTAGTTTTGGTTCCTGTCTCTCTTCCACAACACAATAAGGAGGAGGAAAGGAAAAACAAGTATAAAGAAAGCCTGACAATAAAAGTCATCCATGAGGTTGGCACAGGAGCCCTGGGCCTGGACTCAGGAAGACCTAAGTTCAAATGTGGTCTCAGAAATTTGCTAGCTGTGTGACCCAGGGCAAGTCATTTAACCTCTGTCTGCCTCAGTTTTTAGAACTGTAAAATGGGGATTCTGACAGTACCTACTTCATCTCCCTGTAACAATAAAATGAGATATTTATAAAGCACAGCACTTAGCACAGTGCCTGGCACACAGTAAATGCATTAAACACACACACACACACACACACACACACACACACACTTATACACATATTAAATACATACACATACGCATTCATATATTATACATTCACACTTATACACACACATATTATATATAGAGATATACAAATATATACATGCACATTACATATATAATGTATGTACACATACACAGTATATATATGCATTATATATACATACACACATATATATATTATACATACATATACAGGTATACGTGTATCATATATACACACATATATGCATACACACATATATACATGCATGCATACATATATACACACATTGCATATATAATGATAAATATATACATAGGATACATACATGTACACATATACACATATACACACATAAACACACATATACACATATATTGTTTGTTGTTGTTGTTCGTCTCTGTCCCTTTGTTCCTGAAGAGGACCAGTGACATCAGGAGGGTGATGTCTTGACTTGCAAGTGAATTGGATTTAAGTGAGGCAGAGGTATGTAAAATTATCAGCCTCACTGTCCTCCACAGTCATCTGAGCCCAGCGCTAAGACACAGGTCAGGATGACTGGAGATGGCAGGGAGGCAATGGAGAACCTTGGCCTTTTTAAGCTAAGATCTTTCCCAAGTCTCAGTTTGTCTGAGGCAAAGCCCATTCAGTAGTTAAAAGGCTGGGTAAGAACTGATGGCAAAAGATGACCTAGTTTGCCTTCACAAAAGAATCAATCTGGGATGGGAAGACCCTCAGGGTTTCTGTCCAGAACAGATATAATTACTATTTACACTCATTCTGAGCCATCAAAACCCAAAGGATGAGTGAGAGAGGCTTGGGCTGGGACTTATTATTGATCATTCAATGAAAACCAGAGTGATTTGGGTTTGAAGGTATAGTCAGTTATCTCCATTTGAATCACAACAGGCTTAAAAAAAAAAACTTGGGTCAGCTAGGTGGCTCAATGAATAGAGTGCTCTGGCCTTGGAGTCAGGAGGACCTGAGTTCAAATCCAGCCGCAGATACTTAACACTTACTAGCTGTGTGACCCTGGGCAAGTCACTTAACCCCGATCGCCTCACCAAAAAGCAAAAAATAAAGTAAAAAAAAATTTGTTTTCCATGAAATCATCATGAAAATTTCATGAAATCAGTGAAAAACTACATGACACGAGTTAATTGTCCCATTTGGGGGGGGGGAGGAAGCACACACACACGATAATAAAATAAATAAGGAAAAAAAAAAAAAAAAATCTGCCAATGTCACCTATGCTACCTATCTGCTAATCCCACCTCTGTCACCCATTTGTTAATCCCACCTTGACAACTCTGTGCCAATCTTGCTTGGGTCACTGATCTGCAAATGCTACCTAAGTTACTTATGTGCAAATTCAACCTGTCACTAATGTGCAAATGCCAACTATGTCACCTAACTGCAAATATCCCCTTTGTCACCTATCTGTCACTATG